ACAGTCAGTTAGTTTGGCGCATGTTTGACAATACAGTTGATCATCACCTGTTAAAAATTAAAAAAACTATTGTTCTTAAGTGATATTTTTATCAAAATAAAAGTAGGTAACTACTGATGTTATTACATTTTTAGCTATTCATTTTTCAAGTACTATGTTCAATAGTTTATTTTTTGTTAACTTTTCATGAAAATTTTGTAAGTTTTTTTTCATTCAATATACAAAAACACTACAGTTCACCTATTTTATTACTCTGCCCAAAATAGGGCGGGCATTATATATAATGGCCGGGAAAAGTGATTATTCATGCAGTTTTAATCACACTGCCTATTTGAGTCGGGCACTATGAATACAGACCGGCCATTATTAATAGTGCCCGGATTTATCAAAATGTCCGTAACAGATATACATACGAAAGATATTTTTTGTTATTTTCCAAGGCAGCTGCTGATTCATTTTTTGGCGGAAGTTCTCTTAACTATGTAGCAATCTGGATAATTATGAAAAAATCAATATTAAAGATTGAGACTCCCATATGGAATACCTCACATTGAAAGCTCCCCATTATTCAATATTTTTTAAGTAGTTGCAACCTTTTATCAAGAAAATTCATCAAGAATTGTTTTTTCTGAAGTGGAAAAGTTAGTTATAAAGAAATGTCATTACAGGTACGAAAAGTGTTTGCATTTCTACCTTGTAATGGTACTTTTAGGCCAGTTTCATTCATTTTATTTATTTATATAGATTCACTAGAAAATAAATAGTTTGAAAATAAATCTCGAATTATTTCTCTCTCCCAGATCCCTACGCCGTAGGTTCTGTTGAATGCCTGCTGGAAAACAACTAATTCCCGGCTAATACCACAGATGTTTCTTGTTCATCTAGCAGCAGGACTATGCTGAAATTATTCGAGTAGAACACCTACACACCGGTTTCGAGGTATTACCTCTCACCAGTGCAGGAAAGCTCCGACTCAAACAGCAAAGTGACTGGGACTCAATTAATTTCATCGTGGCCCAAATGCATGTATGAAACCTCCGTCTAGAGTCTAGAGGAAAGATTGTTGACTAGTAACAGCTCCATCTCGTGAAAAAAGCCCCAAACGGAAATGAAGCATTCCATGTACCAATACTCTAACAGAGATCAAACCGTGTCTGAAGACTGTACCAGGTACCGGAAAATAAATATTTCGAGCTCTTATTTCTCCCAACTACCAACCTGTCTTATAAAGTACTGTTCGTGAGTAGAGAGGACTGGATTCTTCGGGAGAAGGAAATATTAAGAGCAGATAGTTGTTGGTTCGCAGATGGATCAAAAACACGTTCCGGTTCCGGTGCAGGTGTTTTCAGTCGCAGACCCAGGACAGAGATTGCGGAAATTTACGCTATTGAATTGTGTGCGGAGAAATTGGAAGAATCCAACCTCATACACAAGTCAATAAAAATTTTCTCGGACAGTGAAGCGGCATTGGAAACTCTTGGCTCCAAAATCGATAGCAAATTGCCACAAACGACTCACCTCAATAGGAAGACTCAACAGATTGTCTCTGGTCTGGGTTCCTAGCCATACTGGCTTGGAAGGCAATAAGGCTGCTGACCTCTTGCAAAGGAGCGTGCTGCAAGCAGCTTCATTGGACCAGAACCTGTCATTGGCATCGCTATAGGTGTGCCAAACAAAGATTGAACACCTGGATGGCAAGAAGATTTATGGACTTCTGGCAGAATCTTCCAGGATTGGCTCCCTACAAGACGTTTATTCACCCTTCGAAGCTTGAAACCAAGTTGTTGGACTACAGAAGGGATTAACTACGATGTCTAATAGGTCTTCTCATAGGTCACTGTCATGTGAATCATCATATGCAGAGACTCGGACTGTCGGAAGACAGTGTGTGTCGCCTCTGTTTGGAAAATGGTTTCATCATTTTCCAAACAGTGCTGTTTTCCAAACACTATGTGCTATGCTGTTTAGCAGAGCACATACTTTGTGCCTGCCCTGCTGGGGATCAAATCAGAGTTTAAAAGTTCGACAGAGCCGTACTCTAATCGGCTTCGTTAAGAAGCCGGGTTTATTTGGTCAAGTATGAATAGGTGCGAACCACAATAAACCCTTGCGAGTTGCGGTGGAGGGTCTAATAGACCCACTCACTCTGTACCTAACCTAAACCCTAACCTACACCGTTGGTTCAGGAATTAGCCAGGAAAGTAGTTACTTTCCGACAGGTATTAACGAGAACCTACGGTGTAGATAGTTAGCAGAAATAAATATTTTGAGATTTTATTTCGAAATATTTATTTTTCAGTACATATGTATCTCTCCTCAATGCAGTCTTCAGACATGGTTGTATACATTTGCTTACAATTTTTCGTAATGTTTATGAATATTTGTTGTTCGCTTTATTTTTTTTTGGCGTATAATATACGTCAGTGGCGAATACTTTATTGTATTTCAACATTTTCAGGGGAATTTTTTAAATGATGGTTCAGGTTTCATTCAAAAAATACGTGAAACAAAATCTGGTAAGATTTAGTTTGTCTTGGAAATTCACATTTAGCGAGATTTTTTTTCAACTTCACTCACATAAAGTATATAATAATCTATTGTTTTTTACTCTCCCACATAATGGACTCGGTAATTAAATAATAGTGGTATATTTGCGTGGAAGCGTCAACACTATGGTTTCAGGAAATATTAATTCTTTGTCCTAACATTGAAAGCGTAAACAAAGAAAAGAAGGCACTATGAGAGGAAAATAACTGCTTCTGTGCATACAAATTATCTTGTTGAAGCTCTTATTCTTATAATAAGCGATGAACATTTTTAATTATCACTTGCGTATTTTTTTTACTGTTAGAAGATGAATGGATATAATTTGTGGGAATGATTGTTATGTATCTACCCATCTGAATATATTTCATTATTTTTTTTGAATAAATTAATGAGGTGTTCCACATCGAACTTTTACTGTTCCTCACCACTATGAATATATTTCAAAAGTCAAACCACTCGGTTAACATATGAACATAGAATCACACAGAAATTACTTCTGCTTTTATTCAGTTAGTATTATATCATTTTTCATAGTGCTAATTTTATGTACATATATGTCTGAAAGTAGTTGTTTTGGATGGACTTTTCCTATCAGTTTTCCTATCTGAAAGGAACTTCTGCTTTCATGAAGTTATTCAATTAATTCCTCAATTATATTTTATAATGATAGAGAGCCAAAAAGTCTGCCAATTTTGCCCAGTCCATTTTGGAAAGGAATCATCATTAATCTCAATATTATGAGGACTATGAAACAGTAAATTATGAATCAAATAGCATTTTCATAAAAGTACTTCTCGGTGTTCGAATATTCCTTTCATTTTTCTCATTTTCACGTCATCGAATTCATAATTTCCTCTAACTTGAATTTGGATACTATATCTTTGTTTATATTTCAGAACACTCTTCTATTCCGTTTTTTCATCTCTGCATTCAAAATTCTTGTATGCGTTTTGTTTGCTGTGTACCTTATAGAGAGCACATTACTCCTTTTCTGATAAGATTGAGAGAATTAAACATAAAATGTAGAATGGAATATCTGATCACAATCACTCATCAAAAACAAAATACCCCTGTATTTATTAGAGCTTATAGTACGTCGTTCTAATATCCGTAGCATCAATACCAGGTTCAATAATTTCAACATTCCAAACCATGTTACATCTAAATACGAAGGATGCATTTCCTCTCTGACACTGTTATTTTTGAACAGGATAATTCCTGTCCTGAATTCATCTTTATATGAAGTGAAACATCATTTGAAATCAACTTTGTTGGCCAGCATGGAGCAATGTATTGTAGTGTAGTGTTTTCCTTTACTTTTCTACAAACTGAGATGTATTTATCATATTCTTTCTCTTAATTTTGCCGCTGAAGAAAATTGAATTATTTTAGGTAATTACCTTATTGCTCATAAATGTTATTTGTATTACTAAACGATACTGAGATCTCAGCAAAAATTAATGAAAAATTTAACTTTCGATCCAAAAGATTTATACCCAAATGTTCAAATGGATTGAAAATCATGAGTAAAGTCGTAAACCAACATATCCTCAAATATTTGGAAGGCTTCAACTTCTTGAGCGAACATCAATATGGCTTTCGGAAAGATCAACAGGCGACCTTTTATCGTATGTCACCCATATTTGGAATAACGCAATGGAAAATCATCGAGAATCAAGAGCACTAAGCAAAAGATGCAAATCCAATATAATTTATACAAAGAACATGGATCTACCACCCAATTCAAGATGTTGTGAGGTAAAAGGTTAAAACGTGCTGAGAACTGTGTGGCATTAAAAATGACATGTCTTTAGCATTTTCCCCCCACGACTCAGGCACATCTGGGTGTATATAATGCCTTGTCCCTCTATTAGACCTCTGGGAGGGTTGACCGTTGCGAAAACAACATGGTAAATAATAATAAAACTATAACGAACACAAATAAAATGGTTGAAAATATTGTTAAACGGTTTAATTGAAGAAAACAGTAATGATGATGTAGATAAATATATCAGTCTTCTATCAAAATATATTTTTTATGAACGTACACTTCACAAACAGGCAAAATTTGATTTATGACACTGGCGTATATGACATTCGGACTTTTAGCTGTGATATATGATTTGCAAGAGAATTAAATGAATATAAAAGACCTGGCAAAGTTGCTAATGTAATTATTATGGCCCGTACCAACTCCGTACTTGCATTACTTGCACAACTGCAAACGCACTCAACTGGAATGAGAAGAAAAAAAATGACAAGATATCAAAATCGTCTTTGAGTGTTACAGTTGGTGTTAATGTTGGTTTGAGAAGTGCACGGCTCTGAAGCTGCTGCTGGACTCTCACATACTAGTCTCTTCAAGTTTTCCAACACTCTCGGATCCTGAAGATCAGCAAAAATTGGAAAAAGGGCAGGAAACAGGTCTTGAACTGAAGGAGTTGCATAAGGCATCAATCCTTATGCAACTCCTTCAGAGTAGGTTTCAGAGTCTTCAAGTTTTCCAACACTCTCGGATCCTGAAGATAAGGAAAAATCGGAAAAAGAGCAGGAAACAGGTCTTGAACTGAAGGAGTTGCATGAGGCATCAATGGGTTGAAAGGAAAGGGAATTATTGGCTCAGGAGTCGAACTAGTAGTTTCAGTAGGTTTCTGAGATTTCAAGTTCTCCAACACTCTCGGATCCTGAAGATCAGGAAAAATCGGAAAAAGAGCAGGAAACAGGTCTTGAACTGAAGGAGTTGCATGAGGCATCAATGGGTTGAAAAGAAAGGGTATTATTGGCTCAGGACTTTGCGGTTTCAACTTAGGTCCTCGTCTGGTACCATAAACATCAATAACCTGCAAGGGATTTGGGGTACCGTCTGCATTCAGAACCATTGCTGGGCTATGTTTGAGCTTACGCAAATGAAGTTTGAGGGAATGGCAGTACTTAGTACGGTACTCGCAGTTCGCACAACGAAATTGGTAGATGTTGGAATGCGATTTTTTGTGAGAGTTCAGCATTGAATTATTGACGCAGGTATAGTCGCATTGTGAGCACTTATAGGGCTTGGAACCATCATGGTTCCGCATGTGATATTTCAGGTGGTGCTTGAGCTCTGTAACAAACGGACATTTGGGACATTTGAGGATCCTGTCGTCTTTCATATGTATTTTTATGTGTTTCCAGAAATCCAATTTAGTTGTGGCAACAAAAGGACAATGCTTGCATTTGTGGGTTTTTACTTTTCCGTTAGAGTTTTTCTGTGGGATCCCCAATTCTTTGTCATATTTTTCCATGTCATTGTCGTATTCTTCCGTCTTGAACGCATCTTCTTTGGCAGGGCATTCGCTTGGATTTGAAGACAAATTGTCCTTTGTCATTTGTACTGGTGTTTTGATTCTGCAAGCGAATTAAATGAATATAGTGAAATATTGAAAAATAAATAAAAGTAACAAGGATGCAGAAAAAAATCGTAGCTGCAATCAATCAAATGGAAATACTTACAGGTAACATAGTATGATGCTGCCAGTCCGTAACTGGAGACAAAGGCTGTACCATCGGAGGCTGCTGTCCTATTGAAGGATGAACTCCATTTTGTGCAGAAGAAGTCATTTCGCCAGCTACACCCCTCATTTTTCTTAAAATGTTACCTATAAATATATAACATGAAAAACTGCTGTTTGCGATAAAAAATTATGATAAAACAAATTTTCCGAATTTCTGATATGATTCAGAACGTTAGATAGTTATCAGGTTCTATACATATTTGCGGTTGAATAGCATTTCATAAAAATCTGAAGGATTTCAAAGTAGTTTTTCAATTAGGAGAAAGCTGTTGCGATTTCACGATATTCTAGTCATGAGTGCTTGAATTATTGTGCTAATAGTGACACTAATTTTGATATTTTCGAAACATTGGATCAAAAACAATTTTGTGCTGTAATTTTAGACTGCTTCTGGATGTAAAAAAGTACCGTTCAAGCAAAGCAATGGCTTGAAAAGTGTTATAAGAGCTCCTCTCCATCAGAAACAACAATTGAACGTTGGTTTGCTGACTGACTTCAAACGTGGTCGTAGAGATTATGCAGGACGCAGTGGAAATCCAAATGAAGTAACATCAGAAAACATAAAAAACGTCCATAACACCGTGTTCAATGATCGGAAAGTGAATTTGCGTGAAGGTAACCATTTTCAATTTTCAACACTGTGATGAATTGAACCAAAATTATCAAACATTCAAATTGGAAGTACAGTAGAAATAATTATTGAAGCTTTCAACAATATTTACAGAAAAAAATTTTTCAGTTGAATTCAATTGTTAGCGTTTTATAAAAGTGACATTTTCACTCATTAATAATGTGAATATTCATTCAGTAACTACGAAAATCCCATTTAAAAAAAATCTGATATTTTTGGGAACATTTTTTTTAATTACTTACTTATTTCTTACAATACACACCTTGATTCCAAATTTCAACTAAAAATAGTGTTAAATAAATAACCATCAATATCCAAGAAGTTGATGATCCGTATAGAAAGAAAAATTGGCTGTAATTACCTACCTATCAAAGGTATAATGCAGGTCAATACATAAAGAGGTATTTTTGAAGGTGATTAAAATTCATTCAGGTTGTTTGGATATTGAACAATTTTCAGAAATTTTTGAAACACAGAAATGAAAAATAAATAATACACTGAAAAATATTTGATAAAATTATACTATTTTATCAAATTATGTCGTTAAACAAAATCTGATCGTATAAATGTATTTTCGATGGATCGGAAATACTGTAGAAATAAAAATATTTTCGCTCTCAAAATTTAAAACATATATTAATGGCGGAATGGAATTTGCTTCGATAACACCAGTAATACTGCGATCTTAATTTAACTATTAAAATAATTATATCAATATGATGTCTTTTCAATTGCCATTATATTTCGTGTAGATTCAGAAATGTGATTATTGTAATGAACTTTCAATAATTTCACATTAGAACAGTTCAGAGCAGGATGACCTGTATAACGATTATATTCATAAAAGTACATCAAAGTAATACATTACAATGTACATCACATCTAGTTTAGAAAGTCCGGAATACAAAAGTAATTTTAAGTGTGATTGAATGAAAAGCTGAATATCACGTATTAATGACCTAACCAAGTATTTATAGCAATTGATATTTGGAATTATGATAGGTTCTCGCAGCTGTGCGCGCATACAGATTGGGGTACCATTATGCACGAGAACGATCCTTTATACGAGAAAATTATATGAATTTCATCAACTTGTGTCAAATAAATTAAAAAATTACATACAAATACTATATAAGACCTGGCAAAGTTGCTAATATAATTATTATGGCCCGTACCAACTCTGTACTTGCATTACTTGCAAATGTAAAATTGCACAACTGCAAACGCACTCGACTGGAATAAGAAGAAAAAAATGACAAGATATCAAAACCGTCTTTGAGTGTTACAGTCTCAATTAATGTTGGTTTGAGAAGTGCTCGGCTCTGAAGCTGCTGCTGGACTCTCACATACTAGTCTCTTTAAGAGTGACTCAGGATTCGAAGTAGTAGTTTCAGTAGCTTCCTGAGTCTTCAAGTTTTCCAACACTCCCGGATAATGAAGATCAAGATCCGATGGGCCATCTGCTAAGATGTTCTTCCATCCATTTGATTTGAATGATTGATTATTGAAGTTAGATAACATTTGAACTGACTACAAGGATACACTACATAACAAAATGGACATGATCAACAGTATTTTATCGTCTTCATCTCTCAATATATCTTCATATATACGATAGGTGGCAAGTGATCTTCTCAAAAGCGTTCTGGATTGAACAAGTGTCAGAGACTATTTCTGACTAAGATTTTCGCTTGTACGCAGCATGTCTTGCGCTGTTTCCAAATGGTTTCGGAAATTAGAACCAGAACAAACCTAAAAATGGGCGCAATAGACCCATAATGTATGTAGCAAAAAGTGTAACTTTTGAAAATGAGATGCAATGGAAAATGAATTTTTTTGAAGATGTGATTGTGAATCCATTATTTGAAACCATTTTCTATAAGAAACTTTGATGGGAAAGCTTGCTTGTACGCATCATGTCTTGCGCTGTTTCCAAACAGTTTCGGATATTAGAACCAGAACAAACCTAAAAATGCGCGCAATAGACCCATTTCGTACTTTGGGGTATACACGATTGTAGTTAAAGTTCACTGTCAAATCATCATCTCAAAACAACTTTCCATCATATTTTTCGCCTCCAGTCAACCAGTAAAATAATAACAAAAGTTAGATCAAATATACAACCCTAAAATGCTATGAGCAAAAAGGGTAACTTTCAAAAATGGGATACAATGGAAAATGAATTTTTTTGAAGATGCGATTGTGAATCCATTATTTGAAACCATTTTCTATAAGAAACTTTGATGGGAAAGCTTCATGAGATTTTCTTTTTGAAAATAAATGCTTGAAGAACTTATCAACAATTTTCACACTTACCCGTTCAATCTAAGATGATGTAGAACACTAAAACTTTCTGTAAGTATAAAATATCCTTGTATCGCAAGATACAAGATCATTGACAATGAAATAAACTGAAAATGCCTCAGATTAAATAGTAACGACAGGTAAGAAAAATTTAGGTATAGAAAGAAAAATTGGCTGTAATTACCTACCTATCAAAGGTATAATGCAGGTTAATACCTATATTGTATTGCTTGAAAATGCATTTGGTGATTAACAATTTTTTTGCCACTAAATATGAAAATCAATTAACGATTTTTATTTCAAATTATATTTTCTATTTATTTATGTAAAACTGGCATGTGTCAAATTTTGATATGAATCTAAGAAATATCTCATTGCGTTTTTGATATATTTCAATGTTCCACTCCTCTCATCGCTTCTGTATGCTCAGAACAGAATTTCTCAATTCTGCATTGTAGTGAGAAAAAAAATTCCTCGGTCATATGATAACCCAAAACAGCTATGAATTGTTGCATGTCAAATTGAAACGGTACAGTTTCCATGTTGAACACGCGATGTCGATGATAAGTGCACAACATCTACTTAGGCCACGGAATCGTTTGCCGGCATTTCCACGACAACAACACTGTACAATGATTATAATTGCTGTCAGTTTGCCAAATGCGGTTTTAATTCAAATTTAGATGTCATTTTAAAGAAGTTAAAAGATCTATATAAGTAAAACGTCAATATAATTAATTAAAAAAGCTTCAAATATCTCATGAACAATACATTTGTTTATAACAAAATTTTGAAACAAATAGAGCAAACAATTATGAAAATTCATTTTTTTTTTAGAAAGAAAGACTTTGGCTTTCTACTACTCCATCTTGATACAAAAAAAATGTGGGAATCTTCCAAAGAAAGGAAGAAAGTAATCAATTTGAAAAGAAGTAACTCTATACATGGATGTGTAGATCATGCAAGGAAGTAACTTTCAGACACAAACTGAAAGAAAGCCCTCCTGAAACAGCTACTTTCATGTAAACATTGAATTACACGAAAGACAGAAAATCCTTTAGATACAAATACACTGAATTATACAGAAGATACTTTTCTCTACTCAGTTTGTATTCCGAACATTCGTTATGGAATAAAATCAGACATCATTCACAGAAGTTCTACTTCAAATGAATGGTAACAAATTGCACTTACATGGAACACCTGTCATCCTCACTGGTAGACATCGATGTTTCGCCGTAAGACCGTGGATATCATTATAGAAAATATACACAATTCATTCATGAATTACGTGTATTCAACGTATTTAATTATTAATAACAAAGTTGAAAATCTTTATGAGGTTTTAAAATAAACAATTTTCACACTTACCTGTTGAATCTAAGATGATGTAGAACACTAAAACTTTATTTAAATATAAAATATGCTTGTATTGCAAGATACGAGATTTTTGACTAAATGAAATAAACTGAAAATGCATCAGATTAAATAGTTTCCACAGGTAAGAAAAATATATAGAAAGAAATTGCCTCCAATGAATGACTCATTTTGAAATACCTATCAAAGGTATAATGCAGGTCAATACATAATTAGGTAATTTTAAATGTGATTGAAATTTATTCAAGTTGTTTGGATATGACCAATAAACAATTTTCAGAAATCGGTGAAATACAGAAATGAAAAATAAATAATACACTAAAAAATATTTGATAATATGATGCTTTTTTATCAAATCATGTCGTAAAACAAAATATGATCGTATAAATGTGTTTTCGATCGATCGAAAATACTGTCGAAATGAAAATATCTACGCTCTCAAAATTTAAAACATATTTTTTATGGCGTAATGGAATTATCTTCGATAACACCAGTAATACTGCGATCAAAATTTAACTATGAAAAATAATTATGATATCAATGTGATGTCTTTCCAAATGCCGTTATATTTTTTGTAGATTTAGAAATATGACTTATGTAATGAACTTTCTGAAATAGTGTTTTTTTCGATTATATTTCACATTAGAACTGTTCAGGGCAAGATGTGGATGACCTATATAATGATTAGGTTTATTAATAAAAGTACATTATATAGTAATACATCACAAAGTACATTACATATAGTTTGGAATGTCTGGAATACAAAAGTGATATTAAGTGTGATAAATAATTGATTGAAAAGCTGAACATCACGCTTTAATCGCAACACAAACTGAAAAATAGAAAATAATTCAAAACTAATTTAAGATTGTGTTCAACGTCGATAACAAGTTCTATGGCTTGATGTAACTAATGACTTTCAATAAGTCTGAAATCAAAATAAATATATTAACAAAAAAATGAATTTTGTTGTAAAAAAGCGTGGGGTGCCAATTTGGCAAACCATACCTAACCAAGTATTTATAACAATTGATATTTAGCACCCCACGCTTTTTTACAACAAAATTCATTTTTTTCTAAAGGGATTTATTCTGATTTCAGACTTATTAAAAGTCATTAGTTATATCAAATCATAGAACTTATTGTCGACGTTGACCACAATCTTGAATTAGTTTTGAATTATTTTTTAGTTCGTATGCGTCTTTTAGCTTTTTGAACTATCATTTCTTATCCACTTTTCAGTTTAGCTTGCTATTTCAACCCCATTTGCTTTAATATAAAATATATACGCATGCACAGACAGTGTTGTTGTCTCACTTGCTCTCACAGAAATACTTGTGAGGAAATTATTTAATCCTGTCGATCCTGATCAGGATAATGAGATGAACTTATGAAATTATTGTTTGGCACCGATTCTTGATGAGCGTTCAAAGTTTAAAATACATCTGTCCGTTTAAAGTGAATAAAAATCGGGTCCAAAGGCGTCGGTTACAAACAAACACACAAGTGAAGCTAATAAATGCGTGTTGAAAAAACCTCAAAATCTGTATTTTTAATGGAATTTTATACATATGCCGTGCTTGAAAAATCTGTTAGTGGGGTATTATAGTGGTATAAGTGGAACCTCTTAGTTACTACCACTTGCGACATTTGACTGCGACACCACGTGGACATTAGAATATACTTTTTTTGTAAATGAATATAACTGGAGTTATCCATTATAATTTTCATATTTTTTCAGATTGTGGAAGGGGAAAATACCCAAAAAAGGTCGATGAAAAACTGATTTTCCTCCACATTAAATGACTTGTGTTCAATATATTAATATTTCTGCTTTATTCTATTATTTAATCTGTCTTAATTTAGTTTCAAGTTAATGTCTTATTGATGTGAACATTGGTGTACTTATAACATCAACTCGTATTTCCAATTTTACGTATAATCCAACTGAATTAAACATTACTAAGATCTCAACAGAAATTTATGAAAAATTCAACTTTTCATCCAAAAGATTTATACCCAAATGTTCAAATCGATTGAAAATCATGGAGAAAGTCGTAAACCACCATATCCTCAAATATTTGGAAGGCTTCAACATCTTCAGCGATCATCAATATGGTTTTCGGAAAGATCAACAGGCGACCTTCTATCGTAGGTATGTCACCCATATTTGGAATAACGCAACCGAGAATCATGGAGAATCAAGAGCTGTTGCGCTTGATATTTCTAAGGCCTTTTACTGGGTGTCGCATGAAGGCTTGCTGGTGTTCTCTAGGGATACATATTGTCTCCAATCTTCTTTTTATTGTATATCAACGACTTATTAGAAAAAACAGGGCATCGGCTATGGAGGCACATCTTCACCGGCAGCAGGAGGTTGCATACCTTTATGAAGATGTAGAAGTGATTTCGAATTAGTGTGGAAGTAATCAGGTTCAACTCAATGCCACAAAAACCCAGGCATCGGTTTTCTTCAAGAAGATCAATGTCTCCGAACCGGATATAATATTCCGCTTTCTGCTTCGATGAGTTTATTGGTGGTTAAAATGAACACCAATATGTCTTGGCACAATCATGCCGCTGAAATTGCAAAGGTTGTTTCTCAAAAGCTTGCAAAACTGTTACGAACCAAAGAACTATACACACCTCAGCAACTTTTGATGCTTTATAAAGCTCAGATCAGACCTTTTTTGGAGTATTGTTCTCATATATGGAGCTCTGTCTCCATCACGGGCTATCAAGGTTGCACACCTTGATAGCCTGGAACATCGAAGAACGGTTGGAGATTTGTCTCTCTTCTATAGATACTTCCACGGGAGGTATTCAAGTGACTTGCCACATTTGATTCCACCAAGAGCGGTACATATCAAAAATACGCGACGGACTGTGGATGCTCATTGTTTTGAGGTTTAACTTCACTGTTTGAGAACTCTTTCATCTGGAGAACTGCGTTTATGTGGAATAAATGTCTTGAGAACTTTTTTCCAAATGGATTTAATCTCTAGCGATTCCAATCCAATGTGATTCCCTACTTTCGCACAGTCACCGCCCTGAGAGAACCTTAAGGATTCTCCTGTAGTGCTTGTGTTTTGTCCTTGTGTTGTTTGGGTCAAATTTAGTAATTGTTGAAAGACTGAACTGACATTTGATAGATACACTTAGTTTTGATGAAAATACAATCTAATAAACTCTGTATCAATGTGAATCTAAGATGGCCGCAGCTACAAAATGATGTATCACATATTTATTTAACGACTACCTCAATATGGGTATCAAACGACAGGGCTTGACTAGTAGTATAGTAGTACACTATGCAAAAGATGCAAATCCAATATATTCTATACAAATGGATCTCCCACCCAAATCAAGAGTTTGTAAGGTAATGAGATCAAAAGGTGTTGATAACTGTGTGGCCCTAAAAATGGTATGTCGCTCCCCTTCCAAGACTCAGGCACATCTTGTATATAATGCCTTGCCGCTCTATTAGACCTCTAGGAAGGTAGACCCTTATGGAAACAACATGATAAATAATAATAAAACTATAACGAACACAAATGAAATGAGTAAAAAAATGTTGAATGGTTTTATTGAAAAAAATAATAATAATGATGTAGATAATATATCAATCAGTCTTCTATCAAAATATATTTCAATGAACGTATATGATTTAAAAATAAATTAAAAAATTACATACAAATACTATATAAGACATGGCAAAGTTAATAATATAATTATTATAGCTCGTACCAATTCCGTACATTAGAAATAAAATTGCACAATTGTAAACGAACTCAACTGGAATGAGAAAAAAAAATCAAGATATCAAAATCGTCTTTTTTGAGTGTTTACAGTCTCAATAAATGTTGGCAACTACATATGGGATTGTCGTGAAATATGTACATAGAAAGCAAGCCTATCTCCGCATTCTTCGCCACACTTATTGCACGTAAACGGGTTATTGAAGCCATGATAACCCATATGGATGGTATACATTATTGGATCTCCAAAGGTGAGACTGCAAAACTGACAACTGTTTTGGTTACCATCATTGATTACTGTGTTGATATCATCTTCAGGATTCATACCTAGAACTGCTTCTACATTTTCGAACATAGTGGTGAAACATTCATCATCATCTTCTTCATCCTTCGAAGATTCATCATTTGACGGTGGCTCGACCGTGAAGGACATATTCAGTTCTGAAACTTCATTTTCGGTTACTCGTGAAGCGTGAGGTTCGGCCTGGATTGTGGTTTGAGAAGTGCTCGGCTCTGAAGCTGCTCCTGGACTCTCATATACTAGTCTCTTCAAGTTCTCCAACACTCTCGGATCCTGAAGATCAGGAAAAATTGGAAAAAGAGCAGGAAACAGGTCCTGAACTGAAGGAGTTGAATAAGGCATCAATGGGTTGAAAGGAAAGGGTATTATTGGCTTAGGATTGGAAGTAGTAGTTTCAGTGCGGTGACTTTGCGGTTTCAACTTAGGTCCTCGTCTGGTACCATAAACATCAATAACCTGCCAAGGATTTGGAGTACCGTCTGCATTCCGAACCATTGCTGGGCTATGTTTGAGCTTACGCAAATGAAGTTTGAGGGAGTGGCAGTACTTAGTAGCGTACTCGCAGTCCGCACAACGAAATTGGTAGATGTTGGAATGCGATTTTTTGTGAGAGTTCAGCATCGAGTTATTGATGCAGCTATAGTCGCATTGTGAGCACTTATAGGGCTTGGAGCCATCATGGTTCCGCATATGATATTTCAGGTGGTGCTTGAGCTCTGTAACAAACGGACATTTGGGACATTTAAGGATCCTGTCGTCTTTCATATGTGTTTTGATGTGTTTCCAGAAATCCAATTTGGTTGTGGCAACAAAAGGACAATGCTTACATTTGTGGGTTTTCACTTTTCCGTTAGAGTTTTTCTGTGGGATCCCCAATTCTTTGTCATATTTTTCCATGTCATTGTCGTATTTTTTCGTCTTGAACGCATCTTCTTTGGTAGGGCATTCGCTTGGGTTTGAAGACAAATTGTCCTTTGTCATTTGTACTGGTGGGATAGAATTCTCTTCCTCAGTTCCGGCGACTTTTGGTGATGTCATCGATTCTGAACTGGGCGATGGTATTGGTGTGTGATCCATATTGGACGTCATGTGAAGCGGGCTATCCTGGTGCTGAGGAAATTGTTCTTGGCTGATCATAGGGTTGGAGTAGTATGCCGTGGTGGGCATGAACGTGGTTGGTTGACTTGTAGTCGCTACTGAGAAACGCAGGCCTTCACTTCTATCGCTTTCCGGAGAAGATGGCACTCCGGAATCATTTCTTGTATCTTGCTCCATCGGTGTTTGATTCTGCAAGCGAATTAAATGAATATAGTGAAATATCGAAAAATAAATAAAAGTAACAAGGATGCAGAAAAAAATCGTAGCTTCAATCAATCAAATGGAAATACTTACAGGTAACATAGTATGATGTTGCCAGTCCTTAACTGGAGACAAAGGCTGTACCATCGGAGGCTGCTGTCCTATTGAAGGATGAACTTCATTTTGTGCAGAAGAAGTCGTCATTTCGCCAGCTACACCCCTCATTTTTTTTAAATGTCACCTATTAATATATAACATGAAAAACTGCTGTTTGCGATAAAAAATTATGAGAATAAACTTTTTCCGGTTTACTGAAATTATTCGGAACGTTAGATAGTTATTAGGTTTTATACATATTTGCGGTTGAAGAGCATTTCATAAAAAATCTGAAGGTTTTCAAATTCATTTGTGAAGTAGAATGATACAACTACCAAATACTACATGGACTAAATAGTCTCGGGTGTAACACATAGATGGCGCTAGTGTTATTGCATTCACCGGTTTTTCAGTTAGTACTAGCCTTCAGGAGAAAGCTGTTGCAATTTAACGATACTCTAGTCATAAGTTTGTGAGCCATTGTGCTAATAGTGACACTAGTTTCGATATTTTCAAAACACTGGATCAAAAACAATTTCGTGTTTTAATTTTAGACTGCTTCTTGATGTAAAAAAATACCGTTCAAGCAAAGAACTCATCTCCATCAGAAACAACAAATGAACGTTGGTTTGCTGACTTCTAATGTGGTCGTAGAGACACTGATTATGTAGAACGCAGTGGACTTCTAAATGAGGCAGTAACATCAGAAAACATAAAAAACGTCCACAACATCGTTTTCAATGATCGAAAAGTGAAGTTTCGTGAAGGTAACCATTTTCAGTTTTCAACACTGTAATAAATTAGACAACCAAAATTATCAAACATTTGAATTGAAAGTACAGTAGAAATAATGATCAGAGCTTTCAACAATATTTACAAAAAAGGAAATCTTGAGTAGAATTCAATCGTTAGCGTTTTATAAAAATTACATTTTAACTCATTAATAATGTGAATATTCATTCAGTAACTACCCTAGTCACTAAAAATACTCTGAAATTGAAAAAAAATCCCATTTTTTTAAAAAAAACTGATATTTTTGGAAACTATCTTTTTTTAAAATGCCTACTTACGTATTTCTTACAATACACAACTTGATTCCAAAGTTCTACCAAAAACAGTGTTCAATAAATAACCATCAATATCCAAGAAGTTGATGATCCCCAGGAATTTGCTGTATATTTTATAACAGCCGTGTCTGACAATATAAAAACATATTTCGAAAACGATATTTCAATGCACACCACTGATGTAGGTTTGCTGAATTCATTCTACCTACTTCGAACATAGTCTGGGTCACAAGATCCTTTTTTTTGGAACGATTCTGAATGACCTTTAGCAACTTTTTGAAAAATTTCAAGAAGGGATCGAAAAAATTGCAAAAGTTATAAAGAATTTAGTAAAAGAAAAGGGGATTTGGTTTTTCGCAAATATTTCGGGAAATATTGAAGATATTCGAAATTTGAAAAAAGATCCTCAAAGAGAAGGAACTTTACTAAAAAAAAATCCCACCTTCCGGGACGACATTTTCAATTATTTATAGTGGCGATGCATAGACAATAAAAATGACCCCGGTAAGAATTTAGTTCTAATATTTAACATCGTTGCCGTTGGCTCTCAGTTCAATTTGTATATATATATATGAGTTACCTTCAATTGAAAATTGTCAGACTATAAAAATGGTACGTTGTTAGCATTTTCCTCCCAAGACTTGGGCACATCTTGTTGTATATAATGCCTTGCCCCTCTATTAGACCTCTGAGGGGTCAATCGTTATAATGTCTAGTACTCGTGAAAACAACATAGTAAATGATAATAAAACTATAACGAACACAAATAAAATAAATAAAAAAAATGTTAAACGGATTAACTGGCAAAACTCGTGAAAACAACAAGCATATGCAGAAGCTATCTTGTTACGGGGGGCAAATTTTATGGAATCATCTTACTTTTCAATTATTTATAATGGCGATGCATAGACAATAAAAATGACCCCGGTAAGAATTTAGCTCTAACATTTAACATTGTTGCCGTTAGCTCTCAGTTCAATTTGTAAATGAGTTACCTTCAATTGAAAATTGTCAGGCTATAAAAATGGTACGTCGTTAGCATTTTTCATCCAAGACTCGGGAACATCATGTTGTATATAATGCCTTGCCCCTCTATTAGACCTCTGATGGGTCAACCGTAATAATGTCTAGTACCTACTCGTGAAAACAACATAGTAAATAATAATAAAACTATAACGAACACAAATAAAATAAATTTAAAAAATGTTGAATGGTTTAATATGCAAAAATAATAACAATGATGTAGACAATATATCACTCTTCTATAAAAATGTATATATTTTTATGAACGTACACTTCACTGTCACTGGCGTTTACGACATTCGGACTTTAAGCCGTGATAATATCATTCACAAATAAATTAAGGAATTACTAACAAAATACAAGACATGGCAACATGCTAACATAATTATTATGGCCCGTACCAACTCCGTACTTGCATTAGAAATAAAATTTCACAACTGCTAACGCACTCAACTGGAATGACAAAAAAACTACGTATCAAAATCGTCTTTGAGTGTTACAGTTTCAATGAATGTTGGCAACTACATATGGGATTGCCGTGCAATATGTACATAGAAAGCAAGCTTCTCCCCGCATTTCTCGCCACACATATTGCACGTAAATGGGTTATTGAAGCCATGGTAACCCATATGGATGGTATACATTATTGGATCTCCAAAGGTGAGATCGCAAAACTGACAACTGTTTTGGTTACCATCATTGGTTACTGTGTTGATATCATCTTCAGGATTCATACCTAGAACTGCTTCTACATTTTCGAACATAGTGGTGACACATTCATCATCATCATCATCTTCTTCATCCTTCGAAGATTCATCATTTGACGGTGGCTCGACCGCGAAGGACATATCCAGATCTGAAACTTTATTTTCGGTTACTCGTGAAGTATGGGGTTCGGCCTGGATTGTTTGAGAAGTGCTCGGCTGTGAAGCTACTCCTGGACTCTCATGTACTAGTCTCTTCAAGTTTTCCAATACTTTCGGATTCTGAAGGTCAGGAAAAATCGGAAAAAGAGCAGGAAACAGGTCCTGAACTGAAGGAGTTGAATAAGGCATCAATGGGTTGAAAGGAAAGGTTATTATTGGCTCAGGATCCGAAGTAGTAGTTTCAGTACGTTTCTGACTTTGCGGTTTCAACTTAGGTCCTCGTCTGGTACCATAAACATCAATAACCTGCAGAGGATTTGGAGTACCGTCTGCATTCAGAACCATTGCTGGGCTATGTTTGAGCTTACGCAAATGTAGTTTGAGGGAGTGGGCGTACTTGGTAGCGTACTCGCAATCCGCACAACGAAATTGGTAGATGTTAGAATGCGATTTTTTGTGAGAGTTCAGCATCGAGTTATTGACGCAGCTATAGTCGCATTGTGAGCACTTATAGGGCTTGGAACCATCATGGTTCCGCATGTGATATTTCAGGTGGTGCTTGAGCTCTGTAACGAACGGACATTTGGGACATGTAAGGATCCTGTCGCCTCTCATATGTGTTTTGATATGTTTCCAGAAATCCAATTTGGTTGTGGCAATAAAAGGGCAATGCTTGCATTTGTGGGTTTTCACTTTGCCGTTAGAGTTTTTCTGGGGGATCCCCAATTCTTTAACATATTTTTCCACGTCATTGTTATATTTTTCCGTCTTGAACTTATCTTCTTTGGCAGGGCATTCGTTTGGGTTTGAAGACAAATTGTCCATTGTCATTTCTACTGGTGGAAAATAATTCTCTTCCTCAATTTCGGGGACTTTTGGCGATGTCACCGATTCTGAACTGGACGATGGTATTGGTGTGTGATCCATTTTGATCGTCATGTGAGGCGGGCTACCCTGGTGCTGAAGAAATTGTTCCTGGCTAATCATAGGATTGGAGTAGTATGCCGCGGTGGGCATGAACGTGGTCGATTGACTCGTAGTCGCTGCTGAGAAACACAGGCCTGCACTTCTATCACTTTCCGGAGAAGATGGCACTCCGGAATCATTTCTTGTATCTTGCTCCATCGGTGTTTGATTCTGCAAGTAAATTAAATGAACATAGTAAAATATCGAAAAATAAATGAAACTACCAAATATGCAGTCAAAAAATCGTAGCTTCATTCAATTAAATGGAAATACTTACAGGTAACATAGTATGATGCTGCCAGTCCGTAACTGGAGAAGAAGGCTGCTGTCCTCTTGAAGGAGGAACTCCATTTTGTGCTGGCGTCATTTCGCCAGCTACACCCCTCATTTTTCCCAAAATGTTACCTATAAATATATAACATTAAAAACTGCTGTTTGCGATAAAACATTACGAGGAAACAAATTTTCTTGGTGTAATATTCATCGACTATCTTGAGAAGGGAAATAACATCAACAGTGAATATTATATAACGTAATTGGAGCGTTTGAAGGCTGAAATTGCCAGAGATTTGGCTCCCAGCGACTACTGGCTACTCACAGATTTCAAAAAAATGCTCATCGGTTTTAGCTCTATTAAACAAATAGAGCAAACATTATGAAAAATCATTTTTATGTAACTTCAAATAATAAAAATACGAATAAATTTGAGTATGGAAAAAAAGTGCCATTGCTTCAATTGAATTTATACTTTTCAACGTCTCTGATTTTATTAATAACGAAGTGGAAAATCGGGGCTTTAAAAATGGGAAGCAATGATAAATGAAATAATGTTTGTGAAGATATCAATTTTGAATCCATTATTTGAAACAATTTTCTATAAAAATAAGAAACTTTAGGGAAGCTTCATGAGATTTTTTCTAAGTGAATGCTTAAAGAACTTATAAATAAACAATTTTTACACTTACCTGTTGAATTTAAGATGATGTAGAACACTAAAACTTTCTTTAAATATAAAATATTCTTGTATCGCAAGATACAATATCTTTGACTAAATGAAATAAACTGAAAATGTCTCAGAATAAATAGTTCCCACAGGTAAGAAAAATATATAGAAAGAAATTGCCTCTAATGACTCATTTTGAATTACCTATCAAAGGTATAATGCAGGTCAATACATAAAGAGGTACTTCTAAAGGTATTAAAAATTTATTCAACTTGTTTGGATATGACCATTGAACAATTTTAAGAAATTGGTGGAATACAGAAATGAAAAAGAAATTATACAGTGAAAAATATTTGATGAAACGAAGCTTTCTTTATTAAATTATCGTGAAAAAATACATTCGAAATAAAAATATTTACGCTCTCAAAATTTAAAACATATTTTTTATGGCGTGATGGAATTTGTTTCGATAACACCAGTGTTATATTTCTTGTAGATTCAAAAATATGGTTTTTTGTGATAAATTTTCTGAAACGTGTACTGACAACATCTAGTTTAGAAAATTCAATTGAAGCAATGAAAAAACTGTTTTTCCTTATATTCAAATTTATTCGTATTCTTAGTATTTAAAGTTACATAAAAATGATTTTTCATAATTTTTAGGTCTATTTGTTCAAAAAATTCTTATATTCAAATTTATTCGTATTCTTAGTATTTAAAGTTACATAAAAATGATTTTTCATAATTTTTACGTCTATTTGTTCAAAAAATTGTTATAAACAAATGTATTGTTTATGAGATATTTGAAATTTCTGTGGGGGGATTTTTATCAGTGATGAATATAATGATTTTCAAAAACAAAATCGTTTCTTTAAAAAATGTTTATTGCTTAAAAACACATATGTTGCTACTGAATTTATTTTAAAAATCACAATTCCTCTTTCTCTTTGATATTCTGAAAAAAATGTTTTTTCCTAATACGACCTTTCGTCTGAAATTTCGTACCGTAGTTAGAAAACATCCTCCATAATTCTAGGAATCTAGAATTCGTATACCTAACTTATTGAATTGTTATCAATAATTATAGGTTTAGTACAACTGTTCAATAATCTCTGCCTGCCTTTTCCTCTTGAAGCCAACCTTTTGTTTTCAAGTCTAATTTTATATCATCATGATTTTGTCAAAGTTATCCGAAGAGTATATATTACTTAGTTATGTTACAGTTAGTTTTTGAATTTTTTCCTGCTATAAAAATTGTAGGTATATTTCTTGGGAAAATAAATCGTTACTATATATTATCAAAATTAACTGTACTCGTGACTTTCTTGATGGAAATCATAGTATTGTTTGTATAATTTATGAAAATAACTCAGTAACCTCATTTATGACATGTCTCATCACTTCT